TCCCGGTTGGGGCACCGGATTCTGTCCCGGTTGCCCCTCTTCCAGGCCAGCTCTCTGCTGTGGCCAGGGAGTGCAGTGGAGGATGGCCCAAGTACTTGGGCCCTGCACCCGCATGGGAGACCAGGAGAAGCACCTGGCTCCTGCCATAGGATCAGCCGTGGCAGCCATTGGAGGGTGAACCAATGGCAAAGGAAGACCTTTCTCTCTGTCTCTCTCTCACACTGTCCACTCTGCCTGTCAAAAAAAAAAAAAAGTAATTGAAATAAAAACATAAGTGGAAAATTAGACATAACAATGGATAATATAGAATTCTAAGAGACTAGAGTGAAAAATAGCATGCCAAAAATTGGTTACATAGAAGAAATGGATAAAGTCCTAGATATGCATCCTTCCCAGGTTTTACTGTAAGAAGCAATAATTGTAAGCAGCTCAGTAATGGATAAGATGATAAAATCAATATTTAAACACTCTCTTACAAAATAAAATCTCAGGAATTGATGGTTTCACTACTGAATTCAACCAAACACTTTTAAGAACCTATACAAGAGCCGGCGCCGTGGCTCAATAGGCTAATCCTCCACCTTGCGGCGCCGGCACACCGGGTTCTAGTCCCGGTCGGGGCACCGGATTCTGTCCCGGTAGCCCCTCTTCCAGGCCAGCTCTCTGCTATGGCCAGGGAGTGCAGTGGAGGATGGCCCAGGTGCTTGGGCCCTGCACCCCATGGGAGACCAGGAAAAAGCACCTGGATCCTGGCTCCTGCCATCGGATCAGCGCGGTGCGCCGGCTGCAGCGGCGGGCATTGGAGGGTGAACCAACGGCAAAGGAAGACCTTTCTCTCTCTGTCTCTCTCTCTCACTGTCCACTCTGCCTATCAAAAATTTATAAAAAAAACAAAAAAGAACCTATACAAATCTTCTCAAACTCTTATCATGAAATTTATGGAAAAGAAAACAACAGAGAAAAGAAAGCTTTTGACACTGGTCTGAACAATGATTTTTTTTACATGATCCTTGAATTATAAGCAGCAAGAGGAAAAAGAGACATAAAACTAAAAGTTTTGAATTTTAGCTGGGATTACGTAAAACTAAGAAGTTTCTGCACAAGAAAGGAAGTGATCAATAGAATAAAACGATAACCTTTGAAATGGGAAAAACTATCTACAAACCACATATCTGAAAATGGTTACTAAACTCAATATTCAAGAGACTCATAAATTTCAATACCAAGAAAACAATCCCATATAAAAATGAGCCAAATTGGGAAATAAACATTCCTATAAAGAAGACATGCACATAAATGATCACAGAATATATAAAAAAATTCTCAAAGTCATCAAAATACAAATCAGAATTACAAAGTTGTATCACCTCATACCTTATAGAAGGACAGTTGTCAAAAGGATGAATAATAATAATTGTTGACATCAAAGTCAAGAAAACAAAGCATTCTTGAGAATGTAAAATGATAAAACGATAGAGAGTATGAGGTATTTTAAACATTAAAAATAATATTTTGATATGATGATCCAGTAATCTTGTTTTTTAGCATGTATCCTAAGAGACTATGTGTGTCAAAGAAATATGTGCAATCTCATGTTCATTGCAGTCTTATTCACTAGAGCCAAGATATGGAGTCAATCTAGGTATTCTTGTAAGTATTAATGAATAAGGAAATTCTTACACATATAGATTTATATGAATACTCATTTATATGAATATTATATTATTCCTTAAACAAAAAAGGAAATCCTTTAATGTACAAAGATGAATAAATCTGAAGAGCATGATGCCATGAGCTAAGCACTAAAAATAAATACTATCTTAATTATATGTGAAAAGAAAACATCCAATTCATAGAAGCAGAGGCTAGAATGGTTGTTGCCAGGGAATAGTGATGGGAAATGGAAGGATTTGGTCAAAGTTCTGGTTATTCTGGGTGAATGAGTTCTAAAGATACAATATATACACCATGGTACCTAGTGCTAAATATTAATCTTTATATTTGAAATCTGCTAAATGAACACACCTTAAATATTCCCATTACAAAAAATAAAAAATTTGGTAATTCTGGGGGTGAGATACATGTTAATCAGCTTGATTGTGGTAAACTATTCAGTGTAGAAGTATATCAAAACATCAGGATGTGTACCAATGAAACACAACAATTTATTTGCTAGATAGATATACTTAAATAAATTTGATTGACAAACAAAAGATAATACAAAATCTCAAAGAAACAATAAGTCCTTAAGGTTAACAAGAAACACTCACTGAAAATACCTGGACAAGTTTAAGAAGCTCTAGAAAGAGATAGGAATTTCCAAAGAGTAGATACAGATTCAAATAAATACTATCATGACATTTGCTAACCTTGGAGAGTTCTTTTTATTTTTTAGGAAATAGAAACTGTAAGAATATAGAAAAAATGGCAAAGAATTATCTGAATGACTTCAGGCTTTTGCTCAGAAGTCAGATTATGAACCAAACTACTCACATAAAAAGTAACTAGGGGGTGCAAAATGGAGACAGAAATAGGGGTATGACTGTTTAGTGAAGTGAGGAACTCATTTTTTTTTTTTTGACAGGTATAGTTATAGACAGTGAGAGAGACAGAGAGAAAGGTTTTCCTTTGGTTGGTTCACTCCACCAATTGGCAGCCACGGCTGGTGCTGCGCCAATCCAAAGCCAGGAGCCAGGTGCTTCTTCCAGGTCTCCCATGCTGGTGCAGGAGCCCAAGCACTTGGACCATCCTCCACTGCCCTCCAGTGCAACAGAAGAGAGCTGAACTGGAAGAGGAGCAACCGGGACTAGAACCCAGCACCCATATCAGATGCCGGTGCTGCAGGCGGAGAATCAACCAAGTGAGCCACAGCGCCGGCCCCAAGAACTCCTTTTTTAATTGAATTATGTGAAATGCACAAATAGAGATGTCCATTTTGTGACATACAACAGTCTTGATCTCAAAAGAGCATCAATCAGATCAAATTGCATTATTAATTGTCGTTTGGATATGGCAATATGTGTTTGGTGAAAATGATGAGAATATTCCCAAGGAAGTGGTGGAGGTAGATGTTAGATTTAATTGAACAGAGCTGTGACTGATTATATTTGAAGTGCTCAGTAACTACATATCCATCTCTTTCTCCCTACCTCTTTAATAACCCCTCCTCTCCTTACCCCTCTTCCTCTCTCCTCCTCCTCTTTTACCTCCATCCATTACACCCTTTCTTTTTGTCCTTCTCTTTCCCCTTCCTCTTCCAAAATTCACAACAAAGATGGCATAAAGAAAGCCCATATGAATGGCAAATAAATACTTCTACATGGATTTCTTCCAAGAACATGGAAAACTAAAAATGTGCTGTATAAAAATATGAGTGATAAAAATCAGGCAATTGGAATACGAAATTGAAATACAGGAACTTTTCAAAGCTATGAGCCCAAACACAAAAACAGTTAGGCCACCTTCAGTGTGGGACTCCTAAAAAAGCACATTTCTCTTCCTCATTTCAAGTCTATTTCTACGTCAATATTTTTCTCTCCAATCAAAAACAAGCATTTCAATGTCCTTGGGTGTAGTCTCTCGCCTGTGCTTTGGTTGCTTAAGAGAATTATGGCGCAGAGAATGGGAAAAGCTTTATAGACATAGTCTATCTCTAGAAGCTAAAAACCTTGTGAGCCTTGGATGGAAAGCCCAAAGGAGCATCAATCATAAATACATAAAACATAATAATAAGTACAGTACAATCGAAGAGAGACATGGTAAATTCACTGTAATAGATACCTCCAAATCCCATCCCCCACCTTCTTGTACTTGAGTGCTTTCTTCACTGAAATATGTAATTTTCTTTTTTTTTGGGGGGGGGGTATAGTGAGGGTGTTGGTATTTATTTGAAAGGAACAGTTGAGAGAGAGAGACAGAGAGAGAGAGAGAGCGAGAGAGAGAAAGAATCTTCCATCTGATGCTTCAATCCCCAAATACCTAAAATGAACGGGCTGGACCAAGTTGAAGCCAGGACCAAACGTTTCTTCTGAGTCTCTCGTGTGAGTGCAGGGGACCAAGTAATGCTGTTTTCCCAGGTGCATTATCATTGAGTGGGATTGCAACCGAAGCAGCAATGACTCAAACCAGTGCTCTTGTGGTATGCCAGTGTCATAGGCAACAATTTTTCCCGCTACACAACAATATTACCAAAACATACGATGTTCAACGCTCTGACAATAATGCACCTCAAGTGTCCCCTTCTTATTGTCTTATTCAGATGCAAGGAAACATTTTCTGTAAGCATTATGGAATTGATAAACTTGGAGACACTTCTAAACAAAGTCAATGCTAAAAATGCAACATTTCGAACATTTGTAAGCTGCTTCTCGATATATGGTACATAGTTTACCAAAGGGCTTGATGAGATTCATACTCATAAGACCCCATGGATAGCCTACATATTAAAACATCTATGATTGCCTATTCTTATTTCCTAATCTCATTTTTTTTCCTGTTCATTTGGACATCTTGAGACCTTCAAATGAACCCTTGCTTATGAATAAAATCCTAAAATTTAGGACACCGGTGATTCAGAATATCCCCGTAAATATTGGGCAGGGAGACTTTTATGGAAAAAAAGCTATTGCTTTTACTCAAGAGAGAAATCTATGAGTTACGATTATATTGATACTGACCCCTGAGTCATGTGAAAGAGCTGGCTAGGAGCCCCTCTAAAATAGCTTTTGTGATTTCTGACATGTGTACTATTGCCACGCCCACCTGTCATTTGACCCTTGACACTTGGCAAGTGTGGGGATTGTTGCGTCTGATCAGCGCACTCACAAAGCACTCCCATTGTACTGGCCAAGTACTTGATTGGCCCTCAGGTTTTCCGCCCTTCTCCGGGAAAATGGCAGCTTCTTCCGCACTGCGCAAGGCACCACCTCACCACTGCCAGGGTCCCTCTGCTTCCCCGTGGGTTCTCGGGATTCTCCTGCTGACCCTGGTGTTCCTGCCACCTACCTCCTCTAACACCTGTGGTGAGCCACCAAGATTTCAAAGTATGAGGCCCAAGGGTGACATTAAATCCTCCTATAATGTGGGGGAGCGAGTGGAATATGAGTGTAGGCTAGGATACAGTCACCGGCTGTCTCTTCCCAAATTTATTACTTGTCAAGAGAATCAACAATGGTCACAGATCTCAAATGATACTTGCTATAAAAAATCATGTCCACGTCAACCTGAACCCCCAAATAGTCAAGTTAACGTCGTAAATGGAAGCTATGAATACGGGAACCAGATTGAATATGTGTGTAATGAGGGTTATCACTTAATTGGTGAACGTATTCTGTATTGCCAAGTCAGTGATACAGGTATGCAGTGGAGTGGCAGTCCTCCACGATGTGAAAGGATTATGTGTACACCACCTCCAGACATACCAAATGGAGCACACTCCGGAGTTGGCAGTGATGCATTTGAATATCAAGCAGCCGTAACTTACACGTGCAATCGGGCGTCTGGATCAGATGAATTTTCACTTATTGGAGAGAGTCAGCTGTATTGTGTTGGGCCTGGAAAATGGAGTAGTGACCCTCCTCAGTGTAAAGTGGTCAAATGCCCATTCCCAGAACTCACAAATGGAAAGCAGGTGTCAGGATTTGGGACAAAATTTTGCTATAACGCTAAGGTTACGTTTGAGTGTAATCAGGGATTTTACCTTCACGGCAGCGAATTAATTACCTGTAATGATAATAGTACTTGGCAACCCCCTATTCCATCATGTCTTAAAGGACAACCGCCTTCCACTGCAAGATCCCGAGTTTTGTGTCCTTCACTGACCAGTCCTCATACTTCGAAACCTTCAAGCTCCATTCCTTCTGGGTCGGTTCCTACCAGGACTACATCTGGAACATCGATTGTCGTACAGTATACCTGTCCCCATGACAGACCACTTGACCTCAGGGATATACTTGAATGGATCCTTGCTTTTATTATTGCTGTACTGGAATTGTAATTGTGTGTGTCTTTGCAAATATCTCCAAAGCAAGAACAAAAAGAAAACAAGTTAGAGCCGGAATATATCACTTACATCAATAAATCACCTCTGCCTTCAGAGGAAACTGAATGATTTCAACTAGCACCACTTCATCTTTTGAATTCTATTAAAGTCCTCAAATCTGCAATAGCTGTTCTCTAACTTAACTATCATGATTGAAACTGTTAAGTCATAATGCTAACATTTTAAGATGACTTAAATATAGCCATCATTCTTGGATACTTCTTTGAAATGTGCATAAATTTGAGTATGAACACATGGCCTCTTTTGTTATAATTGTTTTTGCTTTGTTAGGGCAAGTCAACAAACATCCAGTATGAAATTAAGTGGAGGGATTGATTTCTGTCTAAAATTTGCTAATTGAGAAAAATATAGTTTATAATGGAATTACATTTCAATGGTAAAGAAAGTGACTTTGAAATATGTTTTGTTAAAGATTAAGTACCACTCATGAAAGTGCACTTTTTCATGAAATGACATGTTTTTACATAATATTCAACATACAAAGCTTTTACAAATACACACATATACCTTTTGCACACATATGTGCATGCTAATTTTACCTGTAAAATACATATACAAACATACACAAATGCAAAAATATACAAATAAACATCAAAATTTATGGAAAATGAAACTAAAGTATAAATTTATTTTGATATTAAAACACAAATTTCATAATTTTGAAATTCATACAAACAAAAAATGTTCAAGAAGACCTTACAAAATGTGTATTATAAAAGAACTGCCTATGGATTTTAATTTTTTTGCACAAAAATACATTTGCTTTTTATTGAACTTTCCATGAACCTGAACCAAGAGGATTTTTTTTGGAGGTATGTGGTTAGCACAATTTACTCCCCATCATGAGGTTTCTCAGTATCCCATATTAAGGACAAAAATATTTCCATGAAGTGAAGATTATCACTTCTGTAAGTGTTCCAAATATATTCAGAGTTTAACACACACTTTCTATTAAGATGAGATTGAATAAACAGAAGCAGAGAGAGAGAGAGATGGAAAGAGGAAGGAAGGAAAAACAAATTTGTAAGAAAGCTGAAAGGGGGCTGAGGGAGGGGGTGATGTTCTGGTGTACCCAAACTGCTGCCTGGGAAGCCAGCATCCCATCTGAGCACCAGTTCCAGTCCCTGCTGCTCCATTTCCTTTCCAGCTCCCTAATAATGGCCTGGGAAATCAAAAGACGAACCAAGTACTAGGGCCACTGCACCTACATGGGAGACAAAGATGAAGCTCCTGGCTTCAGCCTCACCCAAGTATGGGTATTGTGGTCATTTGAGGAGTTGAACCATTAAATGGAATGGAAGATCTTTCTCTCTCTCTCTGTCTCCATCTCTCTCTCTCTCTCAAGTCTGCTTTTCAAATAAATAATCAAATCTTTAAAAAGGAAGAGAAATAAAATTCTCCAAATTTGAAAAAAAGGATTAAATAAAACTATAGAATTGTCTTTTCTGTGAACTCTTAAGCTATATTTAAAATAATGACTGTAAAGAGTATGTAGAAACATAAATGCTATCATTTGGAATTAAAGAAATATACAAGATACAAAATACAATAAATTATAATTACATTAATTAAAAGCCAGGAAAAAACAAAAAGACATTCAGAGTACTTGTCCAATTATCTTTGGGGTATAGAAACTTGATAGAATTAATTATCTTTTTTTTTCAATTTTTAAAAATGTATTTGAGAAGCAGAGAGACAGAGATAAATAGACACAGGGAGCAAGCTTACATCTGCTAGTTCACATTCCAATACGCTTCCAATTACCAGGTCTCAGCTGGGAAAAACAGGAAGCTGAGAACTCAGTGCAGGTCTCCCGAGTGGGCGTTAGGCACACATCACCACTGCTTTCTCAGGTCTGCATTAGCAGGAAGCTGGAGGCAGGAGCAAGATCATGATAGTGAACCAAGGCACTCTGGTACCGGATGCAGTTCTCTTAATGGGTTCAAACAACTGCAGAACATCTGCACAGAATCGTTAATTTTTAAATAAACTATATAAAAGGCACTTCTATAAGTGTGCACCTATACACAGAGGTGTGTGTAGATGAGATGAGCAAATGCACATGTGAAACTTGGTTTTACAAAACAGAAAGACTAGGAAATGATGCCTTTTGGTAACACAATCCTGGGTCCACACCTTCTTCCACAGTGCCCTCTTGAGCCCTATACCTCATCTTGTTTTCCATTATTGCTGTTTCCAGATCCTGGTTTCCGTGTCACTAAAAAAAGTTTACTAAGAAAGTTGTAATAATGTAATGAACATATATGTAAGAGACCTTTTAATTTCTTGCCTTTTTTCCCCATCATCAAAGCACTAGCAAAGTAAGAGCTATGTTTAGGGATCAGCGCTATGGTGTAGTAGATTACTTGGGAGGCCAACTTCCCACATGAGTGCCACTTTAACAGGCAGTTGCTCCACTTCCAAATAAGCTCCCTACTAATGTACCTGGGAAAGGAGTGGAGAATGGCCCTATTACTTAGGCCCCTGCAACCATGTGGGAGACCTGGAAGAAACTCCAATATCCTGGCTACTGCTTAATCCAGCCCCAGCCGTTGCAGCCATCTGAGCAGTGAACCAGCGGATGGAAGATCTTGCTCTGTCTCTCCCTCTCTGCCTTTCAAATAAATATGTAAATCTTTAAAAAAGAATTATATATAATGGCTATGTTTATGCATTTCTCCTATTTCCAAACTAGAAAGGTGAAAACAAAAATAAGCAGTGATGACAGACTTTCTGACAAGCAGCATGATCAAATCTATCAAAATACATGGTCAATCTACTTGCTTATTTTACCCTAGCTTGAATACTATTTGAAAAACTTTGGGAAAATATCTTTTCCTCTAAAATCAAGGACAACTGGTGTCACTCTGGGTATTATTTGACAACAATCTCTAGAGGATTTTGGGATGTACTGTACTTGTTTTGATGTTTTCTACCAAGTACAAGGGGTAAATCTCAGCAGGACTCACTCACAAGCATCAGAGGAAGCACTTACTACCACTGATGAACACACAGTTCTCTTTCCAGTCGCAGAAGAGGCCAAAGGCACCATATGTGTATCAGGCACATTATCTGAACAACAGAAAGTCCAATCCCTTACCTTTCTTATAACTCATGTAGATTGCAATATTTCTATTTGCCACAATAATTTAATATTTTCACCTAGTAGAATGAATTGAAGCAAATAGGAGAGAGGAAGCAAAAGGGGAGGACAGAAAAAGAGTGAAGAAAAGAGGAAAGAGAAAAAAATTCTCAGTATGTAAACTCAATAGTTTTCCAAATTATAACAGCAACTAAAATATATTTTTCTGCTGTTTGTTTATATGGGATGATTTTTTTCACATCTGTCCTCAGATATCCTGGAAATGGTATTGGATTTTTAAAAAACGTGGAATATTTTACTTCTTGATGGAGAGCACATTTCTCCTGGAAGAACTCAAGAGTTATGTACATAGGCATTAGTCATGGCACATCCACCTTCCTCAAGTATGATCTTTGGATTCCTCACATGTTCCTCTGCCTTGGAGATCTATTTCTGTACCACTGAGGAACAGTGACATTTGATTTGCAAAGCATCTCTGATTTTTTTTTTTTTGCTTCTTATACTTACTTCTTAGATAAAAGCACTTTACATAAATGGTGTCACATTTTAAAAGAAAGAAGCTGTTCTACGGTGAAAGAATATTGTCCTTCATTTTACATGTATATATAGAGACATATATTTTCTTCTTTTTTGCCTTTTTTTATTTAGTAAATATAAATTTCCAAACTACAGTGCATGGATTACAATGGGTCCCCCCCCTTATTTCCCTCCCACCCACACCCCTCCCATCTCACGCTCCCTCTCCCATTCCATTCACATCAAGATTCATTTTCAATTATCTTTATATATGGAAGATCGATTAAGTATATAGTAAGTAAAGATTTCATCAGTTTGCACCCACACAGAAACACAAAGTGTAAAATACTGTTTCAGTACTAGTTATAGCATTACTTCACATTGGACAACACATTAAGGACAGAGATCCCACATGAGAAGTAAGTACATAGTGACTCCTGTCGTTGACTCAACAATTTGACATTCTTGTTTATGGCGTCAGTAATCTCCCTAGGCTCTAGTCATGAGTTACCAAGGCTATGGAAGCCTATTGAGTTTGCTGACTCCAATCTTATTCCGACAGGGTCATAGTCAAAGTGGAAGTTCTCTCCTCCCTTCAGAGAAAGGTACCTCCTTTTTTGATGGCCCGTTCTTTCCACCGGGATCTCACTCGCAGAGATCTTTCATTTAGGTCTTTTTTTTTTTTTTTTTTTTCAGAGTGTCTTGGCTTTTCATGCCTAAAATACTCTCATGGGCTCTTCATCCATATCCAAATGCCTTAAAGGCTGATTCTGAGGCCAGAGTGCTATTTAGGACATCTGCCATTCTATGAGTCTGCTGTGTATCCCGCTTCCCATGATGGATCATTCTCTCCCTTTTTGATTCTATCAGCTAGTATTAGCAGACACTAGTCTTGTTTGTGTGATCCCTTTGACTCTTAGACCTATCAGTGTGATCAATTGTGAACTGAAATTGATCACTTGGACTAGTGAGATGGCATTGGTACATGCCACCTTGATGGGATTGTATTGGGATCCCCAGGCATGTTACAGCAGTCAAAAACAATGAAATCCGGTCATTTGCAACAAGATGGAGGAATTTGGAAAACATCATGCTGAGTGAATTAAGCCAGTCCCAAAGGGACAAATATCATATGTTCTCCCTGATTGTCGACAACTAACTGAGCACCAAAGGGGAAACCTTTTGCAGTGAAATGGACACTATAAGAAACAGTTACTTGATCAGCTCTTGTTCTAACTGTTGATGTACGATGTAATACTTTATCCATTTTAGTATTTTGTTTTGTTCTAGTACTATTGGTTGAACTCTGTAATTAACCCACAATTATTCTTAGATGTTTAAAGTTTAACTGAAAAGTGATCCCTGTTAAATGTAAGAGTGGGAATAAGAGAGGGAGGAGATTTACAATTTGGGACATGCTCAGTCGGAGACATATTTTCATTACTTTGCTATACATGTAACACAAAGGTCTCATTTAAAGTTCACATTAAGACAAACTCATTTTCCAGGAATTAATTAAATAACAATGCCATGCCAAAAGTTTTTATGAGTTCCTGTTAGGTGCGCTTTTTTAACATACCTTTTATAGAACATTGAGAAATTCTGGTTACATAACTAAATATATAAT